TCTCTGTAAGCATATTGATTAACAAATACAACAAAATTTACCGTTGTTTGCAGGCTGATGATGTCTACATCCTACACCAACAAAAGGAAAACAACAACACCAATGAAACGTTTATAAAAATTATTTTAGATATCCTAAACTGGTGCAAAACTTCTGGAGCTAAAATATCACTTTCGAAATCATCTGTACTACATATCTGCCGAAAAAAATGTAAACAAAATAACTTCGATATCGACAACATAATATTTCCTTATGTCAAAGAATTAAAAATCTTGGGCATTACATTCGAAAAAAATTACAGTAAAAACAAACGTTCTAAGCAAAATTGATTATGGCTTTTACTTATTTGGCGGATGTCCCAACTCGACTTTAAAATACATCAAATCCCTATATCATGAATGTATAAGATCCAGCGTATATGCTTATCAAACAATACCATTAAAAATATTATTTATTGAATCCGGTTTGTCTTCTCTATAGGAAAGATTTAAAGTATGCATAAACAGATTATTGCCAAAAATCCTGTCTATAAAAATATCAGAAATCGACAATGACGTTTTGAAAATAATTACTTCAAAACGGATACCTAGAGCTCCTTCTGTTATATACCAATGTATATAACATATACCCCAAAATGTCCTGCCTGGTTCTTCTCAGATAAATCGTGTGATATATCATTATCTTTACACAAAAAAGATAACCCGCCCAACGACGCACAGTGGGTTAGAGTACCATGTTTTCTTGGATCAAATCAGGGGAGCTATGTTAGAATAATTTTTCTTTATTTTTCAGTTAATACCATTAAAATAAATTTAAATAAAAATGTCATATTGTCATTCATTTTTTGAGCTCTCAAATTCATCATTAGCTTCGACGATTATAAAAAACAACGTTCGAACTTGTATCTATAAAAATTGCTAATAAAAACCCCTTTTACCCGATTACTTGAAATTGCACAACACAATCACTATTTGTCAAAACAAAGAATATTATTAAAATAAACAAAAACAAAATATTATTGTAACAAAGTATATTATTAAAAGAAACAAAAATACCAACAATAAAATAATTAGAAAAAATAACATGAAAAACAAGAAAACACAACACTCAACAACAGCACCAGTCACGAGATCAATGTGACTTTTAGCTAATTTGACTGCTGCAACACTTGTATTAAACAATGCATAGCTTCTAAAAGGCACAAAAGGGCAGCGTCCTCTTTAATATAAACCAAAAATTATGACACGAATGTGGACGAATAATAACTATTTCTCCATTTAAAATATAAAAATATTTTTTTTTGCATTTTCGATATAAATAACTACATCTGGAAGTGGTTTCCAAACACAATTTGATACACAAATGTTAACGAAGTATTTGCAAAATAACCTAAACTTCATGGTTTCATTGAAAAATGTTTAACTTTTACAATACTTTTTAAAATAAACGGGAACGTTTTCACTTTTTTCAGCCTTTTTTGGCACAAAAATTTCTATGAAGTTTGACTTTGAAGTTTCACTACAAAAACACCAGTCAACTTTTGACATTTATTTTAACGACAAGTGATGTAAAATTTTAAATACTTTAACCGTGTGCAAAAAATTTTTAACGATACTTAAAATTTTATTTTTTAATTAATCCAAGAAAACAGGCTATTCTAACTCACTGCGGACGTGTTTATTTCTCATTTCAATCACCTAATATCCAGGCACTAAAACTGGAAAACACGTGATTTTTAAGTAAATTATCCTACAAATTATAAATTGCGTTGTGTTTTTGCTGTGTTTTTATTTAAAGTCGAAACAATTAGTTTTCGCCTCAGCAAACAAAATTTACGTTAAACTTAATTTTTCTCTACGAATTCGCTTACTGGCCGACCTTATATAGGCCTTGGCATGAAGCAAGGCCTATATAGGTTTAGCGTCAATTTATAATTTGTAGGATAATTCACTTAAAAATCTTTTTTAAACTCTTGAAATAGTCCAAATGTATAAATTAAAATTGAATTGAATATTGACAAAATATTAATATTTTCGTTTTGACGTCTAACAAATTTTGTATGTATAGGTTTCAAAATATGATTTGACAGCAAACTTTATACTCACCTGTGCAAGGCCTATATAAGGTCGGCCAGTAAGCGAATTCATAGAGAAAACTTAAGTTTAACGTCAACTTCTTTTTCCGAAGCGAAAACTAATTGTTTCGATGGATACAACATGCTCAAAACCATAAATACCCCCTCTGTATTATTCTTATATTTACTATAAGTATAATTTTATAAATAAATTTTATTGCATCGGGGAGTAAATAATATTTGGAAACATATGAACCTAAACACAATATAGTGAAAAATGCTCTCGGGATGGGGAAACGTTTAAAATGCGAAAATCCTTAAAGTGCCGACTATTGGTGCACTTATCCTATATTAAAAAATAAACATTTAACAATTATATTCATAAATGAAGTAAAGTAAAATAATTACTCTCTGTGTGCTAGGTCGGCGTTTATACCTCTGTGGTAATGTCATATCTGTCTTGTCAAGTTCATCAATGATATTCAGTAATCCAACTCCACTGTAAACTCAACGTAAAAAATTAAGGGTTTTTAACTGTAAAAGATTTATTTTTATCCCAGATTTCAATGACATTAAAAAATCAACGAAAAACTCATGAATTTAGTTCGTTGACAGAAAGTCAACTTAACTTTCATAAAATGAGATGATTCATTGTGCAGTTACCTTATAATGATTTGAAAATCCAATCGAAATATTGGAAACAATAATTACTAACAGTTTGTTTTCGCTTTCATTAGAAAACTAAAAGAATTTGGGTTTCACTAAACCCTTTCTAGACGGAAATGTAGACCATTTCTCACAAATTGGAAATTCCGAAAATTCAAACAACACAATTCTCTAACAAAATAAAATTGTCAATTCCTTTGCATATATGTTAAATAAATCCTCATTAAGTAGGTTAACCCTGTAAAAAGTTCTAATGTATATGCCGTTTTACAAAATAAAATTTGACAAAAAATTAAAAATACTGAAAAATTGTTATACTCAAACACTTGATGTATTTGTGTTTTTTGTTTTTATTTCTCATTCGATTCTCATTTATAGAACATAGTATTAAAAATATAAGTTAAATTTTGTGCATTCAAATTTAGACGAAACTCGTATCGAACGATGCGGCATTTGTTACAGAAACCCAATTTGAATCGAATTCGAGTGACAACCATTCATTAGAATAGACTTTGGTCGTCTTAGAGAAACAGGCTGTTGAAGTTTAATAGGTGAGGTAGGACTCGTCTCCCTGATCACGAAATATATGACTTTTTTGGGGGAATCCATACATCCCTGCTCATAACTCCCTCATATATGGCCCGAGAAGGTAATATTGTTATGGTTGTAAAGCGTACACGTTATATTTTTTCTAGGAATCGTATTAATAACAAATTGTCCAAGGCCTTCGGCGGTGGTTTTACTTTCTCCTATAGACAGATGGAAAATTCGGCCGGGGATTTAAGACTTTCTCCAATGGACGGGTGAAAAATTTGGCTACGCAAAATTTGTCGAAAAAATTGACCTTTCGTCGGGGTTTTAATATATATATATAATATTTGTAATTATGATGTTTTTATCGGTGCCGACCTTGGGAACAAAAATGTTTTTCGATCATTTTTGCTCAAAATTGGAAAAATGTTAAATAAGTGTTCTAAATAACGATTAATTTATATAAAACTCCTTGTACATTATAACTTTTTACCGGGTTAACCTACTTTATGAGGATTTATTTGACGTATATGCAAAGGAATTAACAATTGAAACCCACTGGGTTAACGAAATCGGTTAAATGTAAACGTACTATAAAATGAGTTTTGTGTGGTTTTGCATTATTATTTTAAAACAATTTGAGTTTCACTAAACCCTTTCTAGACGGAAATGTATTCGAACGAAAGTTCAATCGCAAGAACAAGTAAATGTAGACCATTTCTCACAAATTGGGTTTCACAATAACGAATTGGACTCTCATCATACGAAGGAAACAGTGAAAATCACTCGCTTTTTCCGAAAATTCAAACAACACAATTCTCTAACAAAATAAAATTTTGTGAAATATATATTTTATGTGTCGGATATGTTTTCCATTCATGTTTTTACAATATAAAATTTGACAAAAAATTAAAAATATTTGGTAACAATTGTTACAAAATGTTACTAAATGTTGTCTGTTTACACAAAATCCAGTAAAAGAGAGTCAAGTGAGAGAGCAAGTTTGACAGTTCAACAACAACAAACATACTGGAGTTTACTGAAAGAATTTTGTTCAGTAAGATTTTGCAAACTCAGCCATTTTGAGATCAGCTGTTTTATGACCAAACACAAAAATTATTCAAAACATTTTTTTAATTTGCAAAGTTCAATTTGAAGTTAAGTTGTATAAAAATTACAGAAAATGGAAGAAAATTCGTAAGTAATGCAAAGTTTCATTAAATTAGAAACTAATTCCTTATATATTTTTAGACAAGTTCCAGATAGATGGCAATGTATTGATGTAGGAAGCTTAAATGTTCCCGAAAACATACCAAATCAATTTTTCTTTTATTATTCATTTTATTTTTAATATTAAATGCAATACAAATAATTGTGTTCGTCCTTTGTTTGTTGTTTATTTTGGCGCAAATCAAATGTTTTCTTGAATCAGCTGTTTATTTGCTAAATATTAGGTTCGTTCGTTTACTTTCCCAGTAATATTTACTCAGTAAGAATTTGCAGAGAGTAAATACGAATTTTTCCTTCTCAAGAGAGAAAACTGCAAAAAGTAAACGAACAACATCCAGTAAAAAGATTGTTTCGACACAGCTGATTAAAACAACAAACAAATTGGCGCAAACTAAAAAAGAGCATTTTTATTAGAAAAATGGATAACAAGCGGAAAATTGATGTTGTTTGTTCCCCACAAACATTTAAAAGGGTTGTGACCGTTAACTGAAATAAATACCTGTTATTCCTGTATTTGCAATTGATATGGGGGTGGACATAACCGATGGTGTTCCAGACATGTTAGCGATGCACACTTTTTTGTTTGGATTTGGAACCTAAAAAATCGTTCGCCAATTACTCTTGTATTACCTTATTTTTAAATACTTGGGTCTTCTTCATCCATTTTGGTATTTAATGATACAAAATCAAAATAAAATTCACAAAACAATCAATTTTCTTGAGAACAATTTTTTGTTTGTTTACAAAACATAACAAAACAGCTGATTAAATATCAGCTGATGGTACAAGAAAATTCTTACTGAGTAAATTTTCCTTGTAAGAATTTACAAATACTCAGTAACACAACTGTCAAATCTGCTCTCTCAATTCACTCTCTATTACTGGACTTTTGGGTAAACGAACATTTTGTAATAATTTGTACAAATTCGTACAAATTATTGAGTAAACGAACGAACCTATTACTAAATGTTGTCTGTTTACTTTTCTCAGTAAGCAAAAGAGACTAAAACGGCTTACTCTCTGAACTAGAACTTACAGAATAAATGTTATTGGAAAAGTAACCAGACACACCTATTATCGCAAAAGAGGGGGAAAAGGGCTTACTCTCTGAACTAGAACTTACTGAATAAATGTTACTGGAAAAGTAACCAGACACACCTAATACTAATAAATTTTTATACTCAAACATTTGATTGTATTTGTGTTTTTTATTTTTATTTATCATTCGATTCTCATTTATAAAACATAGTATGTATTAAAAATATAAGTTATATTTGGTATATTTAAATTTAGATGAAACTCGTATCGAACGAGGCGGCATTCGTTACAGAAACCCAATTTGAAATGAATTCGAGTGACTACCATTCATTCGAATAGACTTTGCTCGTCTAAGAGAAACAGGCTGTTGAAGTTTAATAGGTCGAGGTAGGTCTAGTCTCCCTGATCACGAAATATATGACTTTTTGGGGGAAGTCCATACATCCCTGCTCATAACTCCCTCATAAATGGCCCGAGAAGGTAATATTTTTATGGTTGTAAAGCGTACACGTTATATTTTTTCTAAGAATCGTATTAATAAAAAATTGTCCAAGGCTTTCGACGGTGGTTTTACTTTCTCTTATAGACAGATGGAAAATTCAGCCGGGGATTTAAGACTTTCTCCTATGGTCGGGTGAAAAATTTGGCTACGCAATGAATAGTTTCTTTTATAAAATTTGTCTAAAAAATGGCCATCGCCGGGGTTTTAATATATATATAGCATTTCCACATTAAATGAAACCTTTTACAAATTAAATGAACCCTTTTCCAAATTAAATGAAACCTTTTCCAAATTAAATGAAACCTTTTCCACTTGAAATGAAACCTTTTACAAATAGAATGAAACCTTTTCCAATTGAAATGAAACCTTTTACAAATAGAATGAAACTTTTTCCAAATTAAATGAAACCTTTATTCTTATCTAAGGAAATATAATATTTGCAGTAATTTTAAACCAATATTTGTAAATTAAATCAAAGAATATTAACACATATAGTTGTATGGCTATGTAATTAACATAAATATTCTTTAATTCGGTGTGATTTCATTTAATATCTTTACTACATAAAACTAAATAAATAGTAATACAAACTGGGGTATTTCTTGACATTTTAATAAATAAATATTTAAGAACAGGAATTGAATACCCGGTCCTAAATGCGAAATACATATTTGACTTAATAAATTGTTGATGATAAGGTAACTGCTTATCTTAATGAAGGGGTTCCCGACGTGCAGCTTGTGGGATTTTCAAAACCATGTCCATAACGTAGTTAGAACAATCTTGCCGAGTAAGCTTTTGAATACTTCGCTCGATTACATCAACAATTTTATGTTCCATTGAAACGTCACATAGCTCAGCTCTTGGACATAATTTTATTTTTGAAAATGCATTTTCGATTGGATTTAGCATTGGAGAATAAGGCGGTAAAAATTTAAGGTTGCATCTTTTGGATTCGATCAAATTTTTTATGTCATGTCGCTTGTGTATTTGAGCGTTATTTTCCAACACTGGATTGATTTTCTCAAAAAAAAATTCTATAAATAATGTAAATCTGTCTGCATTGACACTGGAATTAGAAACGATTGTGTGATGTACAACTCCCGCGTTGTTTATTGCTGCAATTATAGTGACATTACGACCTCTGACAGTAGGCAACACAATGTGTGCTCTTGTTCCTTGTCTTGAACGGGCTTGGGTTCTTCGTATGTGAAGATTAAATCCACACTCATCAATGAATATAAATTTTTCTCCTTGTTGGGGTATCCATTTTATAAAGTCTTGAGCATATTTTTGTCTCAAGCCTAATGTTCTGGAGTCATTCTTTCGTTCTGTTTCAATAGAGGCCATCTTAAACGTAAAAAATTTTGGAACATTGAAGGAAAATAAGCGTGGAGGAAATAGAATTAAGTTGTTGACACCACAAGTTTTAAGTCTGATCGAGTTCTATATAGAAAGTCAACCTGGAATTACCCTCAAAGCCATAAAAACTAAACAGTTGAGAGAAAATGATATAAATATTTCCACAAGCTGCATAGAATATGGATTACGGAAATTATAAATTACGTTTAAGATGGCCTCTATTGAAATAGAACGAAAGAATGACTCCAGAACATTAGGCTTGAGACAAAAATATGCTCAAGACTTTATAAAATGGATACCCCAACAAGGAGAAAAATTTATATTCATTGATGAGTGTGGATTTAATCTTCACATACGAAGAACCCAATCCCGTTCAAGACAAGGAACAAGAGCACACATTGTGTTGCCTACTGTCAGAGGTCGTAATGTCACTATAATTGCAGCAATAAACAACGCGGGAGTTGTACATCACACAATCGTTTCTAATTCCAGTGTCAATGCAGACAGATTTAAATTATTTATAGAATTTTTTTTTTTTGAGAAAATCAATCCAGAGTTGGAAAATAACGCTCAAATACACAAGCGACATGACATAAAAAATTTGATCGAATCCAAAAGATGCAACCTTAAATTTTTACCGCCTTATTCTCCAATGCTAAATCCAATCGAAAATGCATTTTCAAAAATAAAATTATGTCCAAGAGCTGAGCTGTGTGACGTTTCAATGGAACATAACATTGTTGATGTAATCGAGCGAAGTATTCAAAAGCTTACTCGGCAAAATTGTTCTAACTACGTTATGGACATGGTTTTGAAAATCCCACAAGCTGCAAGTCGGGAACCCCTTCATTAAGATAAGCAGTTACCTTATCATCAACAATTTATTAAGTCAAATATGTATTTCGCATTTAGGACCGGGTATTCAATTCCTGTTCTTTTGTATTACTATTTATTGTATTACTATTTATTTAGTTTTATGTAGTAAAGATATTAAATGAAATCACACCGAATTAAAGAATATTTATGTTAATTACATAGCCATACAACTATATGTGTTAATATTCTTTGATTTAATTTACAAATATTGGTTTAAAATTACTGCAAATATTATATTTCCTTAGATAAGAATAAAGGTTTCATTTAATTTGGAAAAAGTTTCATTCTATTTGTAAAAGGTTTCATTTCAATTGGAAAAGGTTTCATTCTATTTGTAAAAGGTTTCATTTCAAGTGGAAAAGGTTTCATTTAATTTGGAAAAGGTTTCATTTAATTTGGAAAAGGTTTCATTTAATTTGGAAAAGGTTTCATTTAATTTGGAAAAGGGTTCATTTAATTTGTAAAAGGTTTCATTTAATGTGGAAATGCTATATATAGACAAATAGAAGCTCAGGACAGAAGCCCTAAAACAGAGTATGCATGAGACCTTTGGACTTGACGCCGATGCTAATCGATAAACTGTACAAGCTGAAATTGTTGTAGAGATGTACTCACGTAAACCTGTGAATAAATTACGTGAATACCTGTGAATACGAAATAGCTTACCACCACAAAATCTACTTTTGGCCACCAGAAAACTTTTCATAGTTAATGCAAATCTTTCACAAAATAATAAACTGCACCAAGTGCAAATAATGCAAACACAAACTTTCGTACCAGCGTATGTCAAACTGTCAACCGGCATCTATAAGTTAGTATACGTACGTTCACATTTAACAGTTTTTGATGTCGGTAGCTTATATGTGATAAAATGGTACAATTTTTTAAGGTAGGCCATAGCAACTTATAAATTACAAGTTTTATGCCAATGTCATATACAAAATTCTCGTTTATTATTTTTCTTTTTTATTACATTATTATATTAACTTTATTACAAATAAAATTATTTTTCTGCCATAGTTTTAGCTTTATTTTATGTTAATCTCTCAATACATGTATAATTGGCCTTAAATGGCTTTCTTTGTATTGAATGTAAATAAATTGAAATTGAAAATCTGTGACTGTGAGTGTAATGTTTTGAAAAATATAACAAAATATATTCGAAAACCTATTTGTTTGAATATGAATTTTAAAACATTTGTAAGAACAGATGTATGATTTGTGAATGAATCAACATGTAAATCATATCCCCAACTCGATTTTGAAAATAAACCCTGGCTTCCATTCATTTTTCGCGTTTTTTTTTTTTTGTAAAATTTTAAAAATATGTCAAATAAACAGAACGACTTGTTGCTTTGTTTTCATTTATTCTGACATTATTACCCATAAGGCAGAGGTGTATTTTTTCCTTTCTGACAAAAGCTACCCTACCTTGTATAATTGTACAATGGGTGATAATATAGACAATTAAATCCACATTCATTGCTACTTTTGAGAGAATACATAGCACAGCATAATGGTGTGAATTGAGTTTGGTTCAGAACTATTCCATTTGTATATAGCTCATGGCTTTGATGATGCAATAATAAGGTGATGTATCAAAATAAGAAACCTTTGTTTTTGTCTCGACCATCTGCCAATTTTTTCCTTATAACATTGTACATGGTTGGCAACATTGCACATCGAATTCAAGTAGAAATTACGCACTTTGACAGTTAATCAAATCATCAGCTGTGCTAAATGATCTACCTATTTATTGTGCCATGGCAAAGACATACACGTATGAAGATACGACCATTATACAACGTAACTAGAATACACTACTGATTTCATTGTACTCGTGTCATGATTGATATTACATTCTTGATTTTTGTAAAAAAAATGGATTTATAACATGTGAAATAAAAAATACGATAACACAATTTGAGCTTTACAATATATAGGGAACCTGAAAAAACACAATACCATGTTGCGAAATGTTTGACATTTATTTTTTCTATATTCCCAAATCTGCGGACGACGAAAAAATATAGTATCAGCGTTTAATTCCTTTCTGAACCGATTTTCAACCTTAAATTGGCATGAAAATTCCAATTATATTAATTTAAAAGGTTATTAATCGCGAGTTAACAATTATACATTATCAAATCAAAGAAATGGCAACATAAGTTCGTTGGCCTCTGGTTTACAATTTACTTCAATTTCCTAATGGGAAAATTTAAATCAGCTAATCCCTTTACAATGAAAAATTCCCATTTTCAATTTTCAGAATAAAATTGAAAAACATGAATGAAAATCTTGCAAATATAATTCTATACCTTCCAGATCTTTCCTTCAATTGAGTCATTGCCATATGTAGAGTTAACTCATACAAAAACGCTAAAAATCGGAAGTGTTCATTACAAAGGGATTTGCTGCTTCACATTTTCCCATTAGGAAATTCGACTTCTGTTGCGATTTCTTTAATTTGATAATGTATAATTGTTAATGCGCGATTAATACTCTTTTAAATTAATATAATTGAAATTCTCATGCCAATTCCTGGTTGAAAAACCGGTTCAGAAAAAACTTAAACGCTGATAATATATATTTTTCCAACGTCTGCGAAATATTTCTACATAAAATCTTTCAGTAAACTCCAGTAAATTTTTGTTGTTGAACTGCCAAACTGGCTCTCTCCTTTACTCTCTTTTACTGGATTTTTGCGTAAACAAGATTCTACCAAGATTGTACTAATTTTTACTATTTTCTTCGATATCATAAAGGAGTAGTAAACAATTTTAATTTTTGCAGGTTCTGGAACGGACCGACAATTGGTATATGTACAATCAAATATCGATTTAATGATTCTTTATCGTTTAACAAGTACGATGTAAATGCTATTAGTGTGCACTGAGATTTGGTACGCCACACTTTTTGTCGTTAAACGTCGTGATTGTGGGCATTGAGCAATTTTAGTACACGAAATGCATGTTAATTGTCCCATAATTTTTACCTGGCAATACTTAATTCATTGAACAGCTGTTTTTGTTTGGGCGTTTTTCAGTAATTCATTGTATTCGTGTACATTTTAGTAATATATTATGTGAAAATAATAAATTATTACAAAGTGTGCATCAAAATATACTAAATAAAATTTCCATTGTGTTATTACGACAGTACTTATAATTTCCGTGTGAAATTTGACAGTAAATAAAAAATAGAGTAATCGATATTAGGACTTTTGTGATGATGTCAAATTATGTCTACACCAGCTCCGTTAATTTGCAAAGCGACTACGAACTCTTAAGTGGCGAATATAATAGTGACTGCAGCTTGTTTTGATTTGCAACATATTGATAATTTCGTTGGGTTCGGTTTAATACGTCAATATTTTATTGCCTGGAGATTCATTAAATTTCACAGCAAAACACTTGCAAAAGTACCTCTATCATGCTAAACAATACTTGATGTCGAATTATTAGCAATTTGTGGCATAGAATAATATGAACAGATTCAGTGACATGGCCCATGGCGAAATATCGAGTGCTGGGTGCACTGGCACTACACAACTGATGGAAGATCATCGCAGACGCAATACGCAAAGTGATGTTGTTAATCGAGGACCATATAGCCGTTTCCAGTCATCAAGATTTGCATGTTTACGTTGTTGTGGAAATTTGCTGAAATATTTGATACGTCTGAGAAACACACCAGAGGAACTGGAACAGCGATGCAAATCCAAAGAGATTGATAAAATATTGGAGAAAGAAAAACAAACATTTCGGCGTCAAGTATTTACATTTATATATAATCATATATTTTATTTATTGGTCACGGATGTATTTATAGGTCAAATTATTATTGTTGGGAGCTGGGGAATCTGGAAAATCGACTTTTGTAAAGCAAATGAGAATTATACATGGAACCAATTTTGAACCGGAACTGATAAAAGAGTATCAGCATGTGATATATCAAAATGTTATCCGTGGTATTTATGGAGATTCTTTATATAAATCCTTCATCATTTAATTGAATTCGTTTTCAGGAATGCAAGTATTAATTGATGCTAGAGAAAAACTGGAAATTCCATGGGGTAACAACGACAGAGACAAAGATGCAATACAGACAAAATGTATGGAATGTACATCCATTGAGGCTGAACAATTTGCTCAATATGCCACGACTATAAAGCGTCTATGGCAAGATCGTGGTATTCGACGAGCCTATGAGCGGCGAAGGGAATTTCAAATAGTATGTACATTTTGAAATACTGAAAATGTAGATATATATTTATATTGTACATTTCAATTCTAGAGCGATTCAGTAAACTACTTTTTAGATGAAATTGATAGACTGGCCAAATTCGACTATGTGCCTACTCAGAAAGATATTTTGCACTGTCGCAAAGCAACAAAGGGCGTTTATGAGTTTTCTGTTAAAATACAGGTGAGTAATTAAAAATTCAAAAACTTCTTATTAAACATATCGTGGCTGTTGAAGATTTTGTAAGGCAAATTGCTAATTTTATATTTATAGTCAAATTCTGTTAGCAACATACTTGACAATTTAAATTATAATTACGTGGAAGACGAAAATATGAATTTTAATTATTAAATAGACACAAAGCTATCAATTGTTTCACTATTTTAGATTATGGAGTGCACAATTTGTGTATATTTACCATAAGTGGTAAGGTTAGTGTTCGATAAGCCATTATTAGCAAAGATACATTAATAAGACTATGTACAGTCGAATCCACTAAATTGCAAACCGTTTAATTAAAAAAGTTTTGTTACTTCCAAAATGTCATGTTTATTTGCAAACAACTCAGCTTAATTGAAAAAAATATTTGCGATGTATTGTATTATTTATATTTATTGTATTTATGTATTTCTGTAATATTGGATAATTAATCAGAAACATTTTTTTGACCATATATGGACCAAAATAAAATTGAGGAGCTGGACTCGTAGTTTAAAGCTATTGGGAAGAAAATTGTTTCTTTTTGTGGAAATGCTGTCAAAAGGTACTTAAAGAATTAAAATATATTTTTGCTACCAAATTATTCGATCAAAAACAGAAAGAACATTGTACCAAAACAACTTCTGCATTTCGAATGTGAAGTTTCTTTGGAACAATTTCCAAAAAAAAAAACACACATATATATATATATATATATATGAATGGAATACATGGATTTAGAGTTATTTATACCAAGCCAAGATGAGGTCAGAATAGCAATTAATCGGCTGAATAATAAAGCAGTAAATGGCGAGAAGACCAAGCTGATGATATCAACGCTCAAGACGTCCAGTAGACTCGGACCAACTTGAGAACTATAGCTTCGAGGTAGTCAAAGATTTTATATACATTGGTACCGCCATAAATAAAGCTAATGATAACAGTTTTAAAATTCAGAGAAGAATAGTGTTGGCCAATAGATGCTACAATGGTCTATGTAAGCAATTTAGAAACAATGCTACCTCTCGCCAGACCAAACTCACACTCTACAAGACGCTGATACTACCAGTGCTGTTGTATGGATGAGAAACATAGGTACTTGCGCAAGCAGATGAGGCAGCTCTTGCCAGCTTCGGCTGGCAACACATCGGCTTCTGCTGCTTTATTGTTCTTGAGCCGATTAATTGCTTTTATGACCTCATCTTGTCTAGGTTGTATACACTCTATACCATCATCTCTTATTGTTTCTGGGGTATCTTCACCGCCACTATTTCATATCAGAAGCTTTTCAAAATGCTCCTTCCAGATCCTCAACACGCTGTCTGTATCTGTCACCAGGTTTCCTTCTTCATCTCTATAGGAGGATGTGTCTGCACCAAAACCTGCACCAAAACCTATATATATATATATGAATGGAATACATGGATTTAGAGTTATTTATACCAAGCCAAGATGAGGTCAGAATAGCAATTAATCGGCTGAATAATAAAGCAGTAAATGGCGAGAAGACCAAGCTGATGATATCAACGCTCAAGACGTCCAGTAGACTCGGACCAACTTGAGAACTATAGCTTCGAGGTAGTCAAAGATTTTATATACATTGGTACCGCCATAAATAAAGCTAATGACAACAGTTTTAAAATTCAGAGAAGAATAGTGTTGGCCAATAGATGCTACAATGGTCTATGTAAGCAATTTAGAAACAATGCTACCTCTCGCCAGACCAAACTCACACTCTACAAGACGCTGATACTACCAGTGCTGTTGTATGGATGAGAAACATAGGTACTTGCGCAAGCAGATGAGGCAGCTCTTGCCAGCTTCGGCTGGCAACACATCGGCTTCTGCTGCTTTATTGTTCTTGAGCCGATTAATTGCTTTTATGACCTCATCTTGTCTAGGTTGTATACACTCTATACCATCATCTCTTATTGTTTCTGGGGTATCTTCACCGCCACTATTTCATATCAGAAGCTTTTCAAAATGCTCCTTCCAGATCCTCAACACGCTGTCTGTATCTGTCACCAGGTTTCCTTCTTCATCTCTACAGGAGGATGTGTCTGCACCAAAACCTTCGGTTTGGTGTTTTACTCGTTGGTAAAATTTCCGGACTTCATTCTGACTCCTGTACATCTCGATTTTCTCACGCTCACGTTTTTCTTGTTCTTTCTTCTTTTTTCTGAAACACGTTTCTCATCTCTGCTTTTCTCCCGATAATTCTCCATCACATTACGTGTCGCTACTGTCTGCAGAGTTGCCCTATACGCAGCATTACGACACTCCTGATCGTACCAAATGTTGCTTTTGCTGCAGTTTGTAGGGAGTGGGCAATTATTTGCCATTGTGCTTCTATACTATTATCGGGACAAGAAGTGCTTTAGTCAAACAGTTGGGCGGAGTAGGCCTCGACTACCTGTTGTGTTTGCAGCTTTTCGACGTCGAGTTTCCGTGTTGTGTTAGATCGCACCTTTGTTGCAACATTAAGACGAGTGGCTGCTACAAGGTAGTGGTCCAAATCGACATTAGCTCCTCGGATCGATCGAACGTCTAATACACTGGATAAATGTCTATCACAACATGGTCAATTTGATTTCTCGTTGCTTGATCAGGAGAAATCCAGGTGGCCTTGTGTATATCGAGATGCTTGAATCTGGTGCTGCTAACTACCATGTTCTTTGCTGCCGCGAAATCAATAAACCTCATGCCGTTGTGGGATGTTTCTCCTAGCTGAATTTTAATGTCATGATCAGGGCAGCGATCATATGCTGTTCCTAGGCGCTCGTAAAATGTTTCTATGGTCAGCTCATTCTGTTCTGTACAACGTGCGCACATTCCAAGTGCAGATTCGCAGATCATGGTCCTTTATACGTTTGCGGGGGTCGTCAACATTAGGGGTCTGTTTTTCTTTTTGCTTTTTCATAGTACAAGGGGTTTTCCGAGTGTAAACAACTAACCCGACGCCTCAGGTGACACCGCGGGGAGGTCAAAGAGGGGCCAAGATAAGCCTGGGCTTCGCCATGTTAAAGCCAATCAGAGTCGTTGCTTGGTATCTAGCATCCCCTACGACACCCATATATAACGCTTATTGGCGAAAAATGTTTGAGATCTCGGGCCTGGTACTTTTCCTGTATTAGTTTGTTTTTATTTTTATTATTTATACACTCAGCCTATACACCAAGCCTCTTTAACAACCCTTGCCGACCGATTGCGTACACACCTTGATCCGTATCGAATCTACTTCATCAGCCAGTTTGTTATTAAGTTTTACTACTCATTTAAAAATACAATAACATTAGATTTTATTTGTTCTACGCTTATAGTACGTTTACATTGAAACCCAGTGGGTTTAATTTTTCAATTCCTTTGCATATATAAATCCACAAATAAATCCTCATAAAGTAGGTTAACCCGGTAATAAGTTCTAATGTATATGCCGTTATAAGCAAAAATCTACATTCGTGTAATGTGGACTATGCGTCTAATGTGGACCAACCCCCATATCTAAGAAAATGCTTGAAATATGTCAATGCCGCCATGATAAATGTTTTCCTAATTAGTGAAAACAAACATCAAGCTTGGGTTTTAATAAATAATTGCAATGTTGAAAATGTAGTAGTACAAAATGTAGCTCTGATTGTAAAAGTGTGATTTGAACATTTTCTAGCACAATATTCGAACGTTTTTGCAAAGTAGTCGAACACCTTTTCTCGAATTTAAAGGATTTATTTGGTTTTCTTTAACAAAAATATACGTTTAGCTGTAATTATAATGGGTGATTTTTAATTTTTATTAATTTTTGAAGCCGATAATTATTTTTAAATAAAAATATTCAATGTAATGTGGACCACTATAAAAAAGTGGCACCTTTTCATGAGGACGATGGGGGCTATTCCAAAACATGAACCCATATATTTTTGCATTCCTTGTTACCCAAGAGTGCGATCAATTGAAATTTATCACAACCAATCCACAACCTACCTTTTACTTACTGATCCTCATTACCCACACATACTGGTCCACATTATCCGCCAAGTTATCTTTATTCGCAGTTTAGAGTTGTTTGAAATATAATGCAATATGCCGATGAACCTCACATATACACAAAGGTATATGTGAGATTGACTAGTGTATGGCAAACTCTTCAATCACTATTCCAAAAAATCGATTTTTGTCCCAAAAATTGCATTTTGAGTCGTAAATTCAGTTTTTTTTTCCATCACAAATCTGTTATTTTTGTACACAAAATTATTTACTGACAACTTTCAAATTGAATATTATTTACCAGATTGATAGGATTTCATTTTCAAAATCAAAACCAAGGTGTATTTAATAAGGTGTAAGTGACAATCATATGGTTTCAAACTTTTTTCTTTATTGTTTGTAAAGTAACATGGTACAATTATAAAAGGTAACAGCAAGTCCCAGCTGATTTGATTCCAAGGTAATACTAGTGTCAATATGAATTTGACAAATTACTTTTTTGAAAATCACCCAACAGGAAAATTGGGAACGCATTCAATTCGAAATTGTTCTTTATTTAATGTCCTCTCGTATTCATTTTACTCCATCTGCCTGTTGGGAAAGTTTGAGGAAGAAAATCTTTCTTCATTGAATAACTCGTAATTCCCTGCATTTTCATATGTGTTTAGTGGCAATAGCTCAATTATAGGAAAGATGTGGAAGCGATAGAAATATAAATTTGATAGATTTTTTTGAGGATTCGAAAATATTTTATTTTCAAAATAAATATAATTTATTTGTTTGTTTACATTTTTCTGTCAAACAAAAACAAATTTCCATGTGGTTGTTGTATCGTTTGTTGCACAACAACACTTGCTGTTACCTTCTATTATTATACCATGGTAAAGTAAATTGTCAAAAACATTTTCAATATTACATTTCGATTTCAAAAATGGTCTTTAAATTTAGGCTTTTTAATAATAAAAATTCAAGAAAACTAAATTCATAGAGGGGGCGGAAAGGAA